CCAAATTAGTCTCATCCATCGCCAATTCATCTCCCACACTCGGTCCAAGAGTGTTCTTTCTAAAATGAAAATCTAACCCTGCCTCTCTCTTAGTTAAAACTTTCACCAAGGAGAAAAAGTCTGAAGTCCACAGTATGATATTCAAGAATCTTGATGACCTAGTGCCTGTGAACCTTCTTATTAGTCTCACTTCTCATCAGTGCCCACTCTTCACACTTTATGTCCTAATAAGGAATGAATACGGGACTAACAACTAAACTGATCTTAATTCCCCAAACATATCAGGCAGTTGTACAATGCCTGGAATGAACCCCCACCCAACAGCATTAACCACCAGGCAAACCTATTTATCCTTGAAAAGCCTCCAACACTTCATCCTGTAGGAAGGCTTCCCTCACCCCAAACTCCTCCCCAACATCCATCCCTGCATGTACCTTATACATGAACACACACACACACCTTTGTTAACTCTTCTATGTCTTTCCTCCCATAGGTCTCGCAGTTCCTCAAAGGCAGAGCCTTGTATTATCCACGTCTGCAGCCTCTGTGCCCACCCTAGCACCATGCACCGGGCTTACAGTTAAGTGTTTATTAAACTGAGTTTAAAGATTTTATTTATTTATTTATTTTTTTCCCCTTAAAGCCCCAGTAGGTAGTTGTATGTCATAGCTGCACATCTTTCTAATATTAAACTGAGTTTAAACACACTTTGTAACATGTGAAATCTTAAGCAAGACTGGAATTGTAAAAACTCATGTTTTAATTAAACGGCTCATTTCAACCACAGAAAAACAAACACTCAAGTTACCTTAAAAAGGGGGTTGGGAGTTGTGTTAGAAAGCTATCATAGACCTCTAGGGAGAATTTTTTCGTAGAGTGCTGCTTCTTTCTCCTTTAGTTTGCACATGGTCAGCCCTGGCTTCACCAGCCTCTCTCTGAACTCTGCGGCTTCAGTCCTCACTGCTAAGATGCAATTTATCTCCATATTATCTAATCCAAATTTCTGAGAGGGTTGTTTTGGTTTTGGTTTCTGGCACCAGGCCATCATGTTCTTTCTCTCTCTCTGGTAAAGCTACGGATCAGCTGCCCTATAGTGAGGCGCCATATCAGAAGTTCCAGGACCAATAGCTCACATTCCCCCAACTCGCAACTCAATATACTATTTTTATTTCTTTAGAACAATTACTAAAGTATATTGCTAAAATTATTTTGCAATACTTTTAAAGCCAAGTCTCGCCAAGACTTGTTCACAGTGAGAAAAATCCTTCACACTTCTTCACTGAACCAGCTATACATTCCAAATGTGCAAAGAGTTAACAATCTCCTTTTATCTGTAAATGGCACAGAAAGAATCCTCTGGATTGTTATAACTGCTCAATAGTGGTTTAAAAAGCGTTTTTACAAGTTTTTTGCAAAATTTCCCATACATTTATAATGTCAAGAAATGAAGAGTCCAGACATTTCCTTGTGAAATTCTATCCCATAATATCAAGTAACTTTATATAAGGATAAGCACATACAATGGCAATCTATCACTAACCAACAGAACCTGTTTCTCTTCCTCCACACTAACACTACTAGGTAATGATTGAAGAAGGCGGGCCACTCACTGACAAGCTCTCGTGGCGAAGAAAGAAGGGTACAGGCTGTGAGACAGGCACTCTTAGGTGGTCTCCAATAAAATCAGACTCTCAGTGCTGTTAATCTCCTGCTTAAAAACTAGAAAAAAATCTAATTAAATGTCTATTATATGTACGGAGACAGCACATTTGCACTAAGAACAAATTTAACAGAATGAGAACACTATACACATCTTTGAAAGGAGAGGGCAATTTATTCACTAAAATATTCTGGCTATTCCGAGATTAAACATTTGCTGGAAAGAAATACTGTTAGAAGGGGATAAAGGGAAAGCTCTCTGAAAATGGCCATTCAGAAGATCTGAGGGAAAATTTTTCAAATGCAGATTGTCCTTACATTTCTTGATATAAAGGAAGAATTTTCTATTTTCAAATCAGGTAGGTGATCTAGGTAGCCAACCTGTTTATTACCTATCCTCAGTGCTGACTCATTTTAGTTTCATCTGTAGTAATGAGCAGCTGACTCTGTAATATCATAACCATCAGTTTAGACTATTGTTAATAAACATATAATCTTAACAGATCTAATTTCAGAGGACAGAAATCGGTACAATTTACAAAGTGCTGATGTTGTCCTTAAATGAGGCTTGAAATGAAAGCACTATTAGAAAGCTTTCATTGACTAAAAAGCACTAAAGAGCAAGGGATTGATTCTTTCATTTCTTAGCAAAAATTCATAGGTTTTAAAAAAACAAAGAAAATGTAAACTTGAATGTCTTGGAGAAATTTTAGTCAAGCACTAAAAGGGTTCTATGTCCTTATTCACTTTTTTTAAATAATTAGGGCAATAAGCCAAGAAAATATGATACCTACATTCCTAAAGTATAGCAAGCCGACTTTGGTTTCTTTCCAAAGGAAATGCTTACAATGATTTTCATTTACTAACTAGGCCTATTTACATTTGTCAAGCTAATAAAAATGGGAAAAAAGGAAGAAGGACTGGTCTCTTCATCTTTCATAGTTGGAATCATCCGAAACTATCTAAATTTTATAAGTCAAGAATTTATAGGGCCGGCCCCGTGGCTTAGCGGTTAAGTGCGCGCGCTCTGATGCTGGCAGCCCGGGTTCGGATCCCGGGAGCGACCCGAGGCACCACTTCTCCGTTCAACGCGAGGCCGAGTCCCGCGTACAGCAACTAGAAGGATGTGAACCTATGACGTACAACTATCTACTGGGGCTTTGGGGGGAAAAAACTGAATAAATAAAATCTTTAAAAAAAAAAAAAAAGAATTTATATTATTTAAAGTCATAAAAGTAGACCGGAGAACTAAAAAATAAGAGTTTAACAATCAAAAATTGAGAGGCACCAGAAGGAGAGGAAGCAAAAGGTAGTGTCCACCCAATTTCTCATCTCTCAGAGGAAGGAATCAATAGATACTATCTAAAGTTGATAAATCATGAAACAGAAGTATAACTTGTAAAGTAATGAAGGAAACCTCCAGAAGAACCAGAAATAACTGTCAGCAGTAGTTACCTCTGGAGGTTGGGAGGAGGAGATGATGGACACTTCTTATTTTATACTCCTATACAATTTGCACTTTCCTACTTTGTGTGTATATTCATTTTTTAATCTAGTTTTTTAAACTGTCAAGAATCAGGAATCTTAAAAAAAAGAACATGCACTATATTTCATTCTCCATACCTAACAACTCATGAATTGTCATCTTAAATAATTTTATTTATTTTTTCCCCCAAAGCCCCAGTAGATAGTTGTATGTCACAGTTGCATATCCTTCTAGTTGCCGTATGTGGGACGTGGCCTCAGCATGGCTAGACAAGCAGTGCGTCAGTGCGCGCCCGGGATTCGAACCCGGGCCACCAGCAGCAGAGCGCGCGCACTTAACCACTAAGCCACGGGGCCGGCCCGAATTGTCATCTTTATAGAATGGAACACTTTCTAGAGTGAAATATCTCACCTATCAAATTAAAAAAGCAAAGCTTTTTTCCCCTGGTGCAAAGCTCATTGCTGACCATCCTCAAGTCAAAACAGCTCTTGTCACAACTAAAATCTTTTAAAAAACATACACACGCTACTTGGTATTGTTTTAAAATCAAGACCTCTTTGATCAATTTACCCGAACACTGATACTGTCCAAAATAACTCGTATAAACTACTCCTAATACAATCAAGCGAATAAACAGGGTCAGAGGCTTCATGGCAGCAAACTAACTAGTAAGTCTTTACATCAAATCAATAAGACATTTAGGGGCTTATTTTTCTTTGAAATCAAAACAAGAGAGGCATTTTGAAAGTGTGCTATCTTCACTGATCCTCTCAGGAATTTAAAAGTATGCACTGCAGTTTCAACCTCCTAGTGCCTGAGTTCTTGTAAAACAATTTACTTCTGCTTGGACAAGCAGTAAGACAGGCCAAAGCCGTGGGGTTTTGTTAACCCTTAGTTTCAAACCTTTATGCTCACACTAACATTTCACCTTTCTAATACTCCCAAATATAATTATCGTAAATAAATTCCAAACCATAACTGAATTCAAGGGAAGGGGGACACTTCAGGTCACTGATTACAGAATATGATTTAATACAACGATTTTAGGACTGGATTATTTCTGGTAACCACAGGAGTTATAACTTAGGTAATGATATGAGTAAGGATCACAGATTTTAAAACTGTGCCGAGGCTCGTCCTCTTCTCCCCATGCAATATATCTCACTCTATCGGGCGGTCCTTGAAGCAACGCTGACAAAGAAGCATTCACAAAATTTTAATTTACACATACGGAACCTAATCGTGGCGAGGCATAAGTACCGAATGCAGATCCCTGAAAACGCACCAGCTTTACGCTTAAATAATAACGCCTATGTCTAATACACTGGCAGCCTGACCACAGTCCAGATACACTTCGTGAAATCTAGGCGATGAAGATAAACCTGACTTAGAGAACCAGAAGTTTTAGGCCTGTTGGTAATCAAAAGGACCAGGAAACTGAAGCAGTCCTGTCTTTTAAGCCCAGCGTGCAAACTTAGTTAACCGAGGCATCACTCGGAATCAACTCTCAACCCCAAATACACCCAGATTTAAGCCCTGTAAATCTGTTAGTAGGCAAGTCGCTCGAATCCACCAGGTGGACCTACGCTATTCCAAGGCTCCTCCCTCGGACCCTACTCCGGACCCTCAGCCACGCGACTCCCGCGAGCCCTGCACCATACTTTGGGGGTGCCCCAATCCAGCACCCCATGCTGCTCCCTCGACCACCCGGTCACCCATCCCAAGTCCAAAGAGTCGTCCGCCCACACCAACCCGCCCACAACATCTCCAGCCCCTCATGCTCCCCTCCTCCAGGCCAAGTCCAGCTGGCCTTTCCCCCGACCCCTACCCCCCACCTCTACTCCGAGACACTCACCCGCGGTAGTAGGCTTTCACCCGGACCTGGTGAGAATGGTCCCCGCTGCCGCCGCCCGCGATCGGGTGAGACATGGTACTGCTGTCCCTCTGGGTCGGCATCTCCTGACCCCCCCCGCCTCAACGCCGGAGGCCGAGGGTGCGGGGGGCGCGCCGAGCGCCGTGAGGGACTCCGCTGCCCGAGCCTCTCGCAGAGCCGCGGCTGCCCGCTCACCTACCTGTCCTCCCCGCCCGCGGCGCGGACCCAAGGGTCGCCTCGCCGGGGCAGCCGGAACCGCGCGGCTCCTCCCACAGCCCGCGGCCGCCACTGCCTCCCCCGCCGCCCGGGCCCAGCACGCCTCCCCACCCCGGTCCCTCCCACCTGGCTCGCTCCAAAGGCCGCATTCCGGGGGAGGGCGGGCGCAACCATCGATCCCACTCAAGGAGCCTCACGTCCGGCTGAACCATTCATTCGGGGGACAAGAAAAGGAGGAGAGAACGGGAGACGCTCACTGTCATTCAAACACGCGGGAGGGGGCCTTTCGTGGAAGCTGTGACTGAGAGGACGCGAAGGTTCGGGTAACTATAGTTCTGTAAAAAGCCCCCTCCCCGCAGGGAAAATGGTAGGGGACAAACACTACGGCATCTCACCCCAGTTTCTTAACTTGGTCGCATCCGCGGTCAGCCGACTTGGCACTCCGAGTAGATTTGCCCGGTGGGCTTCTGGGATTTGAAGTTTCCGTGGGATTCTGGGACTTGGGGATCTTTACGTGTAGAGCGCCCCGCCTTCTCGCTGACAGAGTCTGTCTCCACCTTGCGCCCTAGGAGCCGTCGGCGTGGAAATCCTGAATCCAGCCTGGGCGTCTGAGGTCACTGGAAATGATTGAGCTTTGTCACATTCTAGATTTTGTTCTCTGATCCCTTCCGATTGCATAAATCATCTCAATTATACAGTGCCTTTTTGGGGAACAAGAATTTGGTTACCTGCTCAGCACAGCTTCTTTTGTGGAAAGAATTTCATAATATATGTAACAAATGTAATAATGAATGTAATAAAGGAGGAAACTCAACTAGAAGATATGATGGAAGACTGACTTTTCTTCCTTCGCAGCCCCCATATCTAGGCCCCTGTATATTGACATTGCATGGAACGGATGCACAATGAATATTTGTTCAATTAATCATTCATCCATCCATCCATCCATCATCATTTTTTCTGTTAACACCGGCTACCCAAGGATTATAAAGCATCCGTCCTTGTAGCCTAGTCTCTGACGTTCCACTGGTCTTGGCTCTGTCACATACTGCAAGTACAGGTAGCGTGAATCCAGCCCCTGCATCAGTCCTGGTACCAACACATACTAAAAGGGTTGGAATAATCAAAGAAATAACTTTCTTTAGGCGTGGGGGATTGACTCATTGGAGTTATGTGTCACACAGCCTGGTAGGATGTCCTTCAACTGCTATAAACTTGAATTATACGCTCTTAATAAAAATTCCATTGGAAGACTTGGTATCAAGGTTTTTGGCAACTGAGGATCTGCATCAGCATGTTAAATACGAATTAACTGTGGAATATAAACTATTTCTAAAGTGGGATTGTGAAATTTTAATTGGATTAATGGAAAATTTAATATGCTTGTGACAAATTTGAAAGATTATATAATCCTCTAGAAAAGGAAATTTATGTTATACGGGAAGTAAGAATTTAGAAAGGCAATGCATGGGGCCAGCCCCATGGCTCAGCGGTTGAGTGCGCGCGCTCTGCTGCTGGCGGCCCTGGGTTCAGATCCCAGGCACGCACCGACGCACCGCTTCTCCAGCCATGCTGAGGCCGCGTCCCACATATAGCAACTAGAAGGATATGCAGCTATGATATACAGCTATCTGCTGGGGCTTTGGGGGAAAAATAAATAAATAAAATTATTAAAAAAAAAAAAAAAGAAAGGCAAGGCAGGAAAAACTTATTTTGGATTCTTATTCCTTAGAAGTTTGAAAAATCCTTCAGCATTGGCCTCGTAGCATTCTTTGAAAGTAACCATTGTTTTCAGAGGAGGCTTATTGCTTACTTTGTCATCAATAAGAATCTGTAAATATTGATAATTTGCATCAATCCCACCATATAAATAAGTTTTTGTATTCCAAGTGATGAAAGCTCAGGGAAAGCATGAGCTTAATTTTTTTAACAGCATTATGGAGATATAATTCACATAACATACAATTCATTCATTTAAAGTGTACTATTCAATAGATTTTAGAATATTCACAAAGTTATGCAATCATCACCACAATCTAATTTCAGAACATGTTCACCCTGGCAAAAAGAAACTACACATGTATTAGCAGCAACTACCCATTCTCCTTAGCCTCTGGCAACCAGTAGTGTATTTACTGTCGCTATGGATTTTCCTATTCTGGACATTTCCTATGAATGAAATCATAGAATATGTGGCCTTTTGTGACTGGCTTCTTTTACTTAGCTTAATGTTTTTGAAGTTCATCCATGCTGTATCATATTTTAGTTCTTCATTTCTATATATGGCTGAATAATATTTCATTGTATGGGTATTCCACATAAATGCTGCTATGAACATTCATGTATAAGTTTTTGTGTGAAATATGTTTTGAATTCTCTTGGGTATATATACCTAAGAGTAGAATTGCTAAGTCATATGGTAACTCTATGTTTAACATCTTAAGAGAATGCCAAACTGTTTCCAAAGTGGCTGCATCATTTCATTTGTACCAGCCGTGCATGAGGGTTCCAATTTCTTTACATCCTCGCCAACACATGTTATTGCCTGTCTTCTTCATTATAACCATCCTAGTGGTTGGGAATGTGGTATCTCATTGTGATTTTGATTTGGATTTCCCTAATGACTAACGATGTTGAGCATCTTTTCATGTTTTTATTGTCCGTTTGTGTATTTCCTTTGGAGAAATATCTATTTAAATTCTTTGGCCATTTTTAAATTGGGTGATGTGTCTCCTTCACCGAGTTGTAAGAGTTCTATATATATTCTGGAAACAAGTCCCTTGTTAGATGATTTCAAATATTTTCTCCTATTCTGTGCATATCTTTTCATTTCTTGGTGGTATAATTTGCAGCACAAAAGTTTTTAATTTTGATGAACTCAAATTTATCTATTTTGTTGTTGTTGTTGCTTATGCTTTGGCGTGATGTCTAAGAAGCCTTTGTCTAAGCCAAGGTCATGAAGATTTACATCTATGTTTTCTCCTAAGAGTTTTATAGTTTAACTCTTACATTTAGGTCTATGATCTATATTGAGTTAATTTTTGTGTGTAATGTAAGTGGTCCAGATTCATTTCTTTGCATGTCGATATCCAGTTGTCCCAGCACTGTTTGTTGAAAAGCCTATTTTTTCCTCATTTAATTCTCTTGCACCCTTGTCAAAAATCAGTTGACCAAAATGTAAGAGTTTATTTCTGAAGTCTCAATTCTATTCCATTGATCTATACATCTAACCTTATGCAAGAATCACACTGTTCTCATTACTGTGGTTTTGTAGTAACTTTTAACACAGGGAAGTTTGAGTCTTACAACTCTGTTTTTTTTGTGTGTGTGTGAGGAAGATCGGCCCTGAGCTAACATCCATGCCCATCCTCCTCCACTAAATGTGGGACGCCACCACAGTACAGCTTGACAAGTGGTGCGTCGGTGCGCGCCTGGGATCTGAACCCGCGAACCCCGGACTGCCGCAGCAGAGCGTGCGCACCTAACCGCTTGTGCCACCGGGCTGGCCCCTACAACTCTGTTTTTCATTCAAAATTGTTTTGACTATTCTGGGTTCCTTATTTCCATATAAATTCTAGGATCAATTTGTCAATCTTTTCAAAATAGCCTGCTGGGATTTCGATAGAGATTGCGTTGAATCTGTAGATCATTGTGTGGAGTATTGTCATGTCAACAGTATATAGCCTTCCTACCTAAGATGTCTTCCCATGTATTTAGATCTTTAATTTCTTTCAACAATCCTTTATAGTTTTCAGAGTAAACGTTTTGCATTTCTTTTGTTAAACTTATTCCTAAGTATTTTATTCTTTTTGATGCTATTATAAGTGGAATTGTTTTCTTAATTTCTTTTTTTTCTCTTTAATTTTTTCATTCAATCATTCTAAATGAGCATTTTACTCTTTTATAGCCTGGAATCCTAAAATGCTTGAGATGTAATTACTTTGAAGTACGTTAATTTCATGAGGTTTTAGAATTTGATTTAGCCTATAAGTACAGAAAATGGTTCTGACATCAGTGGCTTTTAGCTCTGGCTACACATGAGAATTGCCGGGACAACTTTTACAAGCTATGTTGGTGGTGGTAGGGGAGCATCTCAGACCATTTGAAACAGAACCTCAGGGTGGGGTCCTGGGCATCAAGATCTTTTTTACTTTCATTTTTTTATTGAGATATAATAGACATATAACATTATATTAGTTTCAGGTGTACAACATAATGATTCAATGTTTGTATATATTGCAAAATGATCACCACAATAAGTCTAGCTGGCATCCATCACCACACAGTTACAAATTTTTTTCCTATAATGAGAACTTTTAAGGTTTACCTCTTAGCAACTTTCAAATATACAATACAGTATCATTAACTATAGTCACCACGCAGCAGTACATTATATCCCCAGGGCTTATTTATTTTATATATGGAAGTTTATACCTTTCTACCACCTTCACCCACTTCTCTCACCCCCGCCCCGCCACCCTTCACCTCTGGCAACCACCAATCTGTTCTCTGTATCTATAAGTTCAGAGTTTTTTTCAGATTCTACATATAAGTGCTAATCATATGGTATTTGTCTTTCTCTAACTTAGTTCACTTAGCATAATGCCCTCAAGGTCCATCCATGTTATCACAAATGGCAGGATTTCCTTCTTTTTTATGGCTGAATAATATTCTATTGTGTATATATACCACCTTTTCTATATCCATTCATCCATTGATGGACACTCAGGTTGTTTCCATGTCTTGGCTATTGTAAACAATGCTGCAATGAACATGGGGGTGCAGATATCTTTTCAAGTTAGGTGTTTTTGTTTTCTTCAGATAAATACCCAGAAATGGGATTGCTGGATCATATGGTAGTTCTATTCTTAATTTTTTGAGGAACCTCCATACTGTTTTCCACAGTGGCTGCACCAATTTACATTCCCATCCTAATTTCATTTTTGATTATTCATTGCTAGTGTATAGACATACAATTGATTTTACATATATCTTGTATCCTCCAAGCTTGCTGAACTCTTTTATTAGTACTAATAGTGTTTTGGTGGATTCCTTAGAATTTCCTATATACATGATTATGCCATTTTAGAAGACAGA